AGTCAAGTTCTTTACTTGAAAATGCACACGCAGCTTTATGAGACTTGGGATAGGCCTGAAAATTATATTTTTTTAATCTTTATCTTAATCCTTACACCAATTCCCACAACAATGTATGTGTTGATCTTCTGCAACTCTGTTCATGAGTGCGGAAAACAAAGAAAATTAGATGTCTCCAAGGCATAAGGGAGTCTGTAAGTTTAAGTTCTTGTATTAAGCATTAAGCAAAGTTTTAGTGGAATATTGTTATTTCTAAACTAGGTCTAATTCTCTGCATACAGAAACAAAATACTCAATCTCCAACATTTATTTTGCCACTATCATTGCTACCATCTGACATGACCAGAAGGCCAAAGTCAGAGTGGGGTTCTTTAAAAACATAATACAATCTCTGCACTAAGGAGTTTTTAATCTGTCCCATATGCCTTTACTGGGCCAATAAAGTGATGCTGACACCACTCCAAACTTATTACCATTCTCAGACAAAAGACTTATGGCAGGCTCTGCTATTCTGCCGGTGTCACAGCAATGCTTTGTACCATGAGGTCTTCTTACATTGCTGAACAAACAAAGCAAAATACTTCAGTCTTCCATTTTACTTGACTTTCAGAAATTGTCAGCATGGAACACAGGAAAAGATATATTTCCCTGAGAACCAATGCTAACTTCCTCGGAGAAATGGCAATTTTTTTTTTCAATAGGTTTCTGTATGACTAACCCCAGTGTAGCTAACAAGAGGAAGTAAATGCTTAAATTGCATATATTTTGGTTTCATTAAAGCAGCATTTATCAGATTGTTTGCAAAAGTATAAGCAGTATGCCCTTGACCATATCAATGAAAAACAGCAGAAAAAGTCTTTAAAAATGCTACATTTCTCATCCTAGGAAATGGATAATTTGAGTCCTAAAGTATTTTGGAATACTGCTTTTCACTGAGTCTATTGCTGAAATCCATCTAAAGTGGATTACTAGAGCTAAAAAACCTCCAAACAAATTAACAAACCCCACAGAACAGATCCAGGAGAGCCAAGATGATCTTATTTCACAAAGATATTATCAAAAACTGTCCTGTTGGTCATAACATATGAAACGTAATGAAAAGCCACCAGAAGAAATTCATGCTATCAAACAACAACATAGTGTTTTTATTTACAGTGGAAACCAGAGCAAGTTAGGTCTTAATCATTCATAAGTTATCCAGGTGATGACAGATAAAATTCAACTGACGCAAAAACTTTGCGGAATGAAAAAAAAAAGGATATTTTGCATATGGAAGTGACAGCAATATTAGACATTATGGAATTAAAGAAAATTCTTTACAATACTGGTTGAAACTACTGTTATTTTTAAGATGTTTAAATAAATGAACAAAAGTTTATTTAAAAATATACCAACCACCACACAAAGAAAAGTGTTTTCTACTAGTTACAGACAACAAGGAAGAGAAATGAATTCAAAATACAGAATTCAGATTCCCAAATAAAATTTGATCAGGCCTGACTTTCTGGTGGTATTAATGCCAGAGGAAATGATATCAGAATGATTTTCCTGGGGACATCCTTCAGTTTGCCACACAAAAGTCCTCAAAAACCAAAAACAAACAAACAAACAAATATATCCATCCATCTGCTCTTCCCATCCACCAGGGAAATCTTACCTCTTCAAACTCAACTACAACAACACATCCCTTACAAACCCATTACAGCCTCCCAAATTTTAATTCTCCTAGCTTTCTACCATGTGTTCCAACTGGCTCATCAACTGCCTGCCCTCTGTTTCTCCTCCTTACTGCAAGTGTATTAGTGCTTATTCCCACACTGCCTACTTCGGTCCTATATTCCAGTAATCTGAACTAATAGTGAAGTTACAGATAGCCCACAAAATGAGGAGACAAAGGAGCAGAATAACCTTTGGCAGCTCCCAAAATGGTCGCAACACTGTTGTTGTCACTAATCTTTGCAGTGATGCATCATCTACAGCTCTGTTACAGGAGGCACAGTTTGAAAGATTGTGGTCTTGATAGTTTATAACCAAAACATTTGGTAGTTTTGGTAGAACTGTAGCTTGTTTTGTCCTAGGACTTTGAAGCACTGAGCCTACTGAACCGACACAAATACACAGTGAAATCAATGCAGCTGAGCATTGATTTACTGGCCAAACACACAGCTGACCAAGCCATCTCAGACTCACAGCTAATGTACTGCAGGACCAATTTGTACAATACATGTATAAAGCATTCTCAGATGTGAGTACAAAATCTTCAAATGCTATTCAGATATATCTTCCACACAGAAAAAAATATCTGGATTAAAATCTGGACATATGGGAGATAAAGATTAACGCAATCTGTATATGACTATCAGCTTTAGGTACTACAGAGTAAGTTCTGCTCAACAGAAAACTTACGTGTATGTATCTCAAACAAGAACACATTTAAAGTGATATGTTAGGCTAGCTAACAGTATGAAAGCAAGTAGCTTAGCAACTGGTAATTGTCTAGTAGTACTAGGCAAATAATTCATGATGATGTACATCATTATTCTTAACTATATATATGTGTATATATATATATATACTTACTGTTGCTGTTATTGTTTGAGGGTGCAAGAATGGGGGATGTGTTGTTTTCTGTTTGTTTGTTTCTCTGGGGTTTTAATAACATTAATTGTGTCAGTTAAAATATTAGGTTTTCTAGGAAAAAAAAATCACATTGCAATTTAAAATTGAACTTTGAGCTTTCTTACATTAACCTGCAAATATTTTATGCTATAAGTAATGCTGAATATGTGCAAGTTTTTAGGACTGGAGATTTGTTTAGTTTTATTTAGCACGGAGCAGGAAAACAGTTTTTACAGTGATTCTAGCTGAACATCACTTTCTGAACAATAAGTAGGCAAGCAGAAGACCACAACTAACACTAAATGGATTGAGTTTGGGGTACGTTCTCTTAGCACAAGTCTTGTTCCTGCATTGCCATTTCCTTTCACATTACTTATTTAAGGCATTGTTTTTATGTTTCTTTCAGCTGAATTTCAAAGGAAGAGAGCATCTCCAACCATTTTTACAGGTATCAAACCAATTTCAGTCCCAGTAAAAGCAGCTACAGAAGCAACACCTGGGTATTGCATATTGACAATAACGTTAATTACATCTACAAATATTACTGAACACTGGATCAAGACTGATGCTTTACTTTATCAAATCTTCCATCTTTATTACTAGCTAAATATGTCAAATATATACTAAAAGTATTACAAGTGTACTGAAGATCACCTCAGCCCTCCAGCTATGGGATGAAAAACAAACCATTCATGTCACGTATATAATCAGAGGAAAAACTGATCTCAATCCTATGCTACCCCAACCACAAAGCTTTGGTCAATAACTTTAAACTGTCTGTGCAGTGTGCTTCTCCCAAGCACAAACCAGATCATTTAAAAGGAGAAAACACTTCTATTTCTACCCATTTTT